TTTACAGTTTCAACACAATTCCCATCAAAATACCTCTTCCTCTTTTCATAAGGACACCAGTCATATTCAATTAGAGCTCTACCCTTATGATCTTGTTTAACCATAATTTCCTCCTTAAAGGCCCTATCTCTAACTTTGGTCACATTGAAGATTAGGGTTTCAACACATGAATTTAGGGGACAAAATTCAACCCATTATAAGGCTCTTGGTTCTGCCTGCTGAGTCATCTTTCCTTTTTTCATGAAAGATGTCACATGTTTGCAGATGAGTAGTTTTCTGAGTCTACTTTCTGACATTTTGGGGATCCAACTTCCTCTTTGTACTTTTGTACTGTCTGTACTTTCTAACTCAAGGTGGCAGTGGCACACCTTTAATCTCAAAGAGCCTTTGTGTTAGCGGGTGGTTCTCTGAGGCAGAGAACCTTTGATCTTTATGAGGTCGTAAGGAAAGATTTTGTAGGCACGTCCTCAGCTTCATCTCTAGGTCATATTGTCCTGGGGGTGCTCTGAATTAGATTTTTTGCTTAGAAGCCATTTCCTAGCATTGTTTGCCATTTGAGGAGGCTGAGAAATTTGGAAATCACCAAGTCCTAACTCAAGTCCCAGACATGAAGATAACAACCTTACAGAGATTGATAGCCAGCTCCCACAGTTGCATAATGTCAAATTTTATATATATATATATATATATCCTGCTCCTCTAATTCAGAATTTTTGTACTTAGAAGTAGATTCTGCTATAACAAATACCTAAAAATACAGGTGTGTCTTTGGAATTAGTTGGGAGGTGGAAGATAGGTGTTTTTATAACAGTCCTTCCCTCATTTATTTTTCACCTTTTACATTTTATTATGAGCAGAAAGAAGAAATTAGGTGGCAGCTTCAACATTTTGCTTGAAAATTTCCTTAGTTAGATCACCCAGTCCATTAGGCACATTCTCTACTTCCAAGTTAGTGCTGTGTGGTCGATTTTCTGTCACTGTATCACAAAGATCTCTTATTCCAGTCTCAATAACACATTCCTTATTTCCTTTGGACCCCTTACCAGCAACATCCTCAAAGTCCAGGTTATGTTAATGATTTGCTCCAAGAAAATTAGGCTTTTTCTAACATGCTTCTCAAAACCCTTCTATTAGTATCTTCCACCTACCAACCTATATATATAATTTGACATTAAGCAATTGTGGGAGCTGGCTATCAATCTCTGTAAGGTTGTTATCTTCATGTCTGGGACTTGAGTTTGATGTGCATAGGTTAGGGGCAGGAGAGGGGACAAAAAATTAACCTGGAACCTACAAGCACAAACTGGAATGAAACTCTTACTGGTTCTCATTACCTCTTACTTGTGTAGTATGAGTGGTATGCAGAAGTCAGGCCCCTTCATCACAGAGCTAAACACACATAAGGCCCAGGAGTTGGCAAAGATAAAGGTGGAACCAGAGAACGGTAGAGGATGTGGAGGCAGAGCCACTATCTCACACCTATGAGATGAATCTGCAAATTAGCAATAATGTGTGAGCTACAAAATAGCTTCCCTTCACTTTCATCTTCCAAATCTCACAAAGGAATCTCTCTTGGAGCACCCCCCCACACCAATCTGGAAATATAACTCTGAGAATTGTAGTGCAAAAAAGGTAATTATGGGAAATGTAATTCATTCAGCTTAGCCAAGGTGACACTTACAAAGCCTCTTTAACAAAAGATTAAGGAAAAAAGAACATAATATTAAGATAATAAAGAACGTAGCAGAAGATAACTTCTGTGGGAAAACAAAACAATAGAATCCTGAGAATATAACTGTTGAGTAAGAAGAAATAAATATAGGGATATGTTTTATCTGGACCATGTGGGAAAGTGGCATTGGAACACTATTTGTCTACTTATAAGAGGAATTGTGAGTGAGTCAGGGGTAGCAATAGGATAGGCATGTGAAGATTATCAACTTGTTAGAGAATCAAGCAGAAGAGATCTGGGTTAGGAGATCTTGTCTTAGATGATAGGATAGAGGAGAAAATATCCAAATAAACACTTCTAAGGAGGAATGAACAAGCATGACTCAAAAACTTGGGTTGTAATTCATATAGTTAGAATGCTCCCCTGGGCAGGGTTTGTGCACTGCAAGATTGATTTGAGCAAAATGTTCTAAATGGAACTGGTGGGGTACAATTTCCAGGACAGTGTTATGCTAAAAAAAGAAAAGTGCAAAACAGTGTTTGTAATATGGCATCTTTGGTATAAGAAAGAAAGGGATGTAAGAAAATATATATGTGCTTAGCCATTTGTACAAAAAGAAATACAAGAAGGATGAACTGGAGACTAATGAGATTGGTAATGTGCCAGTGGTGGAGAAGGGCTGAGTGGCAGTGACTGAATATACCTCTTTTTCCTTTTTAAAAAATGTAGCTCTGATTTTTATAAGCATAGTAATGCTTCATACACTCCACAAAATAAATAAAGTCAACCAAGATGTGTGTGGGTGGGAGTAGAACTCAAAATGGAATGTAAATGGTAATGAATGAACATAGCTGTATTACAAATGGATGATGTGAGCACACTGAAGGGGATGGGAAATAAAGGCCAACCTAAGTCACCGTGGAAAACAGTATTTTGACTGGATACTATAAGGCTAAAGGCAAAAACAACTCTGCATGAGCATCGTACTGTAGTTAGTCAATATGCTTTTCAAAGGTACTTGTGTTATCAATTCTGAAACTACTTTATGCATATTCTAGGTTAGAGCAAATAAGTAAATATATTTTGAATAATATGAGCCAGATATCTCACTGACAGGAAAAGGAGTTACAAATAAAGAAAGTAGGAATGATAGAATGAACACTGAACACTGTGGAATTAAATTGGAATCAGACATATGGGTATGATGTACACAGTTAATTCTGCATAGATAGAGATAACAATGTGTTTGTAAATGCATATAGGCATACATACTTATATTTCTTAGCTCTATTGCTGACAGGGCCCAGAAACAATGACACTTTAGCAACAATGAGTACACATAGTTCCTGGGTCTTGCTTCCTAAATGTGCTTCTCTAATAAAAGGATCTTAGGCTCTTTGGAGAAATGCTGATTCCTGGGCTAGGGAAGAGAGTACAAGAGAAGCCTGGAACATCTTGTGAAGCCAGAAAATAAGGAAGTGTTAAAAAAAAAAGTGATGCAGACATGTTTAAAAGGACACAGAAGCCATCCTGAAAGCATTTCTGCTGGCCAAATAGAAAACAATCTGAACAAAACATGGAGCCATTTGAATAACAAAATAAAAAATAATAGTAATGAATTATACCCCATAGAATAGAATTAATATCAATGAGTCTATTTATGAATAAATAAATGAATGAGTGAAGGGATACTGCTTCTTTATGGTAGAATTCCAGTTAATAAATATAGAAGGCATTATGGAAATAGAAAAATCACCATTTGGTAAATGCCACAGTAATATTTGATTCTGGCAAGAATCATTAATGGATGTTAAAATTAGTGGAGGAAAGTGTGATGAGAAACAGGATATTTGTATAGTCTGGAAGTATATCCCTACAAGATACTTAATTACAAAGCAGAATATAGCAACTCTGTAGTGGAGAAGATGCCGTCCTAGCCAAATGGCCAGGCTGGCGTCATCAGTAACGAGACACACTGACATCCCCTACTTCCTGATATCATGCACTGGTGAGGGCATAATATCATATCTCCGATATTTCTGCCAAAAACATGCAGCTGAATTTAATCATATGGAAACATCAGAAAGACCCACATTGGGAGACGTTCTCCAAAACAACTAGGCAATGCTCCTCAGAAGTGTCAAGGTCATGAAAAGACAACAAAGGATGAGGAACCATCCCCGATTAAAGGAGACAGAAGTTAATGATATCTGAATACAAGGGCCTGGATTTGATTCTGGATCAGAAAATAGACATTAGGGGAAAACTGGCAAAATTTGAACAAAATATGTGGATTATTTAATGGTATAATAATTTGGGGAAGCTCAGTGAAAGGTAATATTTTTATAACCTTTTCTAAGTGTGATATTATTCAAAATACATTTTTAGAGCTTTAAATAATTTATCAAGGAGTTGTTACACCAAAAACATATGCATTTTAAGAGTGTAGGCCAAGAAGCGGGCTGTCTGAAGAACAGCTTGTAGAGGTACCGTGTCACTGAGCCCCTCCTAAGTGTCGGGGAACTGATTCCAGGTGAATGGCAGTCCCACTTCTGTCCCATAGAATGGGCACAGACAGAAGAAGGAGAGGATGAACTGATGTCTCATATTGTCCCCCTGACAAGTGAACATCGTTCAGGCCTAACATGGTTTCTAATGGAAATCCTTCCTTCTGTTCACACATCTGCTAAAAAGCTTGTGGGGTATACTAAATGACTCTAGAGCCCCATCTGCTCCCCGGTGAGGCGCCGCCAGCTTTCCAGGGTGATTTCTGACTGCACTCCCGCTCTGCTGTCAGATTCGTGTTGTCTCAGTGGGCTGCCTATGTCCACTCCTGCCCTTCGTTTTCATGGGTTTTTCCATAACCACCTCATGACATCTTAACAAGCATATTCCTTTTCTAGCTAGGACTTAACTCTTTCTAAATTATTTAGTAATTATTTCATGATTATTAGTTATATTATTCCCCTTATAAGCAATGTCACTTGAACCTAGTGATCATGACATACGCTCTTTTGATACACCGTGAAGTGTCTAGAATGGTACTGGCACATAATAAATACTAAATATTGATTCCCTGTTTGGTGTCCTACATTACTTTAACAAGAAATATGAAAGTCCAACCACTATTGTAAATTATTTTCTAAGCTGCAACAAGAGTTTAATTTCTGTATCCTAGAGACATAAAAGATTTCTGACAAACAGAAACGAATAAACCTGACTTCTAAATTTTCACCATGTGATTTACAGTGAAATGATGATCATGCATAAATAAGAAGCCTTTGAAAGCATCAGGGAAACCGTCTGGGTTGCTGGTATTTGCTATTACCATTCTGCAGCATACTTTGCTGTTTCCAGAGTTAGTTGTCCTTGTCATTTCAAAGTTCTCTTTGCGAGGGATGGGCGTGAAACTATGTTCAAAAAAGCAAAAGGACAGTATAGTGTGAATATAGAGATTAGAGAAACAATTTCATATATCATTGATACCAACCATAATAATAATTTCCCAGAATGGCTTTCATATATTAATAGATGAAAATAAATCCACTAAAAATTCCACTAGATAAATTAAAATTATTTTCTCCAGCACTTAAATAATTATATAATTGTATTTTTATTCTATTATTATTCTTATCTAACTAACAAGCCCTTGATTTTGTCAATATTCTACCCATCTATTCATTTATTCACCAAATTATTATTAACCACTTACTAATTGCTAGGTAATGAGGGTACAAATGGTCTCCATTTGTACCCTCAAAGAGGGTCAAAGAGATCACAAATTTTAGTTTCTAATTCTACAGAGTGATTTGATTTTCTTTGTAAGACAGAAACTTAATTGAAATAAGAATTTTTTCAGGCATTTTGTAGACTTCCTAAATAGTTCCATTTTTGTTAAATTGTTTCCAAATTATTTTTTCATGAACATGTTTAAAAGTTAAAAGGGCAATAGAATTTTCTAAATATATTAATTTTTTTATTTGGATTTAAATATGTATTTGCTTATCACTTCCAGCAGAGAAGATATTTGTGATTTGTGCTGAAAGAAGTTGCTCAATGGTTTGTCCTTTTTAAAGGTGGCCTCTAAGAGAAGGAAGGATGTTCAGAATGCCCCTGGCTCGCTGCTGCCGAATCCAGAGCTGCATTTGAACACCAGCCTTGGAAGATGGACACTAGCCGCCTCCAAAGGAAGCAATCCTCACTGGGTAGCAAATGACTCTGAGTGGGAGGACAGAAACCACTCAGCCGCTGCCAAATGGAGGTGAGTAAATATTTACGCCAGCAATGTACACATTTACCATAATAACATCACCCTACTCAGCCCCCTGGTAGATAAAGAGGTATTTTAGATTCCTCTCAGCAATATGACATTTGTAGGATTTTATTTTTACTTTAAATAGCTTTCAGTAGGATGTTAAAGAGAGTCTACACACAAACAAATATTCCAGATTCCTGATAATTCTTTGGATAATTTAACAGAGTCCCCACCAACATACTTCGTGGTCAGAGGCTGTCATTTGACTAAAATGAAATATCACCAGCAACTCCATTCTAATCAGCATTCTCTGCTCTGCTAATGTCTGGTACAGAGAAGTGCTGCTGAACTGGGAGAATATTACTCAATATTAGGAATGACTTGCTATCCTACATTTATTTTGACAAATGAAATACAGTCCTAGAGGAAAGAATGGACCTTTTGCGGTTCCATCTCCAGGTCATTACCGAATGCATGGTGTACAGAAACCCAATTGCCTCTCTTTTCCCTTTGCTAGAAATGGCACATAAATTGCTAATCTTCCTTCCAAAATTCAAAAGTGATCCAACAATTAAAATGGATCTCTGTTTAGAAAGTGGAACGGGTACAGTGCACACCATCTGGGTGAAGGGCACACTTACAACTTTGACTCAAACTATACAAAAGCAAATTATGTAACCAAGATGTGTGTGTACCCAAGAAATATTCCAAAATTAAAAATATTTTAAAAAGTGGTAGAACCTAGCAGGTCAGCATTTTTTTACTTCAAAGCTGAAAAATGTATTTTCAAACAGTCTTCTTATTAGAGGAGATTTTTGTGAGCTTACTTTGATTCTTTGCCTTTGATTCTTTAAATACTCAGTTGGGTCTTCGGTCAGGATATCTTAGTTTGTTTAGTAAAGCCCCCATTATCATTTTCTCAGTGTAGAAAAAAAACTCCTAGTTAATTAAATCATATACCATCCATGAATTGCATCATTTCAATTATTTTTTTAGATGTTGTTATAAATCAGCGGATCAAGGGGACTCGGACACCAAAATTCAATCAGCCAAATTTTATTTATTCCTGCGCAGGGGCTGTCAGCACTCCGTGCAGGGAGGGCGGGCGCCCCGCTTTCCCGGTCTGGGGGTTTATCCCCTGGGCGGAGCCTGCACTGCAGAGCAAGCAAGGGGTCACAGAAGCCGGAGATTTGCGGTTAGCTACGTCCTCTTGTAAGTTGCCGGTTAGCCACATTTTGTTTTTAACATAAGGCTTCCACTCAACTACCCCTCCCACCTGCCATCCCATACTAAGTATTGTCTACCTGGTAATTTTCCTTTTCCACAATGTGATATACTAACAAATGTTCTTTTTAAAAATCACATTAAACCAGTTATAACTGAATGCAAAACCACCTGAAACATACTGAGTCAATGAGGAAAATATGCCCCTGGGAGGAAGCGGAATAATAGAGGGATTTTTCTTGAATTTATAATTACTCATTCTTTGGTGGAAGGATTAAACTAGCAAGTGATAGGAGCCTCAGTATGGCTAAGGACCCTGTTTTCATTGCAGCCTCACGGAACAAAGGAGAGATTCCTAATTCACATGTGATGTTGCCCTGCATTTCTCATCTTTTTTGAATGGAGCTAACAGTAGGTTTTTTTTCAACCAGCTCTTCACTTTTGCCAGATATCTTAGAATGTGGAAAAATACAGTACAAGTCAGGGAAAAGGAGAAATCTTTGAATAATCATTTTAAATTGTATAAGTTGCTATGAGATGCTGTTTTTATAATAAAAACCATATATACAATGAATGGAAGAGAAATTACCATGTGTCTCAAGTCTATCTTAGAAACTGTAAAATGAGAAAAAGCCTTTTGAAAATTCTCCTTATATATCTCTTGGGACTGAAAAAACTACAACTATTTTAGGCCTACCCTTCTGACCCCACTTTCCTTCTAACAAGTCAACAGAATTTGATAATCAAATGCTTCAAATGATGCCAAAAGTTCTGACATAATGTCCGGGCACAGTTATTGGAGTTACAGCTGAAAAGAGGCAGAAAGCAGAGGTGGGTCTTGTTGAGTCTAGGTCTGACTCAGAACCAGAGGAAACCATGAAAGCATCAGACCAAGAAGACAATTGTATGTTTGGCCTTCCTGTAGAGACAATGGTAGGACTCTTAGACATCCACACTGTCTCAAAGGAAGTTTCTGGATTTCCTCTATCATAAATTCCCTTCCTGAAAATTTCAGAGCAACCCATATTCAAGGACAAGGCACTGTGGAAAAACAAGATTTAATTAGGGACCCAGGAGGTGGTGAAGATTTAGCATTATGCAATCAAATTAAATATTTTTCTGCAGCTTTTTGTTTTCTTGACAACTTAGCAAAGTTACTCAGAATGTAAATAAATCTAATGAAGAATAAACCCAAGTGATTAAATCAATAGTGGCAAACTCTATGACCTTTTTAGAGGGCACCTGATTTTCCCTTTTTGTCTGAATCCATTTCAAGAAGAACTTACTTCAAAAATAATGTGGAAAATTATTTGATTCGGTGTGCAAAATCCATGGTTTTCTTAAAAAGATCAAATTGTGTCATTATGTCTTAGAATTTAGAAAATACTATTTCAGTGAATTCTTTAACATTAAAAAGTTCCACTACTTGGCATCTACCCAAAAGATCAAACGTCACTTTATGAAAAAGACACCTGCACTCGAATGTTTATAATAGCACAATTCACACTTGCAAAGTTGTGTAAACAACCCAAGTGCCCATCATATCAATTCATGAGTGGATTAATAAAATGTGGTATATGTATACCATGGAGTACTAGGGGTTGCGGCTGATTGCCGCCTCCCCGTAGTTCTGCATCTCCGGGGGCCAGTGCTGCGCGTGGCCAGTTAGAGGCATGCTGCTGGGGCTGGTCACCGCTGGGACCCCGCGTGCCAGAATGCACCCAGGCCCACATGACGCTGCCTGTTTCAGGCCATGCTGCTTGCGTGATCCTGATTGGGTAATTTTTGAATCCCACTGTTTTTGGTTGGATGCTAAAGCTTGTTGTTGATTGGATGTTAAAGCTTGTTGCTGATTGGATGTTAAAGCTTGTTGCTGATTGGATGTTAAGGCTTGGGTTGATTGGATGCTTCTTGAGCCCTACCAAGGGTATAAAAGCAGGGGCAAAAGGCCAGGAAGGGGGAAGAACATCGAGAGAAGATCGGAAGACAGCTGTAACACTAGGTGTGCTGAGCCTGCTGAAGAATAAAGGCTGTTCTCCGACTCTTCATGTGCTGCTCGGTTCTTTCCCGGTCAAATGAATAAGAGCTGCAACAAGGGCTGTAACGCTAGCTGTACACACTGCCGCAACACTCACAGCATCACGCTGCATTAGAATGTCTGTGGTATAGCAATCGCTTGGGAGTACATGCCTCTTCCTCACTAGACTAATACATTTTGGAGGACCAAGACTGTCTGTTTTTTGATTGACATTGTATCACTAGTGCCTAGTACAGGTCCTAATACATAGTAGTTCTCAACACATATTTGTGGAAAGAATAAGTCAGTGAGTGAGTGGGTAAGTGAATGAGGGATTGAACAAATGAATGAATGAAGCCAGAAGTAGAATCCAGTGATCTATGAGCTGTACCACACTTAGAACTTTATTTATTTATTTATTTATTTTTCCTTTTTTTTTTTATTTCGGCATATTATGGGATACAGATTTTAAGGTTTCAATAATACCCATTTCCCCCTCCCCCCACAGTCTGAGTCTCCAGCATGACCATCCCCCAGATGGTGCACATCTCACTATTATATATGTATATACCTGCCCCCTCCCCCCTGCCCAATACCCTATTACTGTAGTACCTATGTGTCCACTTAGGTGCTGCTCAGTTAATACCAGTTTGCTGGTGAGTATATGTAGTGCTTGTTTTTCCATTCTTGGGAAACTTTACTTAATAGTATGGGTTCCAGCTCTAACCAGGAAAATATAAGATGTGCTATATCACCGTTGTTTCTTAGAGCTGAATAGTACTCCATGGTATACATATACCACATTTTATTAATCCATTCTTGGATTGATGGGCACTTGGGCTGTTTCCACAGCTTGCAATTATGAATTGTGCTGCTATAAACATCGAGTGCAGGTGTCTTTTTTGTAGAGTGTC